TCCCTCTCATATTCTGCTGGTGAAATGTACCCTAATCGTTTCTGCCGTCTCTGCCGGTTGTAGAAGATTTCAATGTACTCCCTGATTTCCTGAATTGCTTCCTGGCGTGTCCGGTAACGGCGGTGATGGACCAGCTCGTTTTTTAATGTGCCGAAGAAGCTTTCCATTGGCGCGTTGTCGTAGCAGTTCCCCTTGCGGCTCATGGACGGCTGCATACCGAATTGCTTGAGCAGCCTTTGGTAATCATGAGAGCAGTATTGGCTGCCACGATCTGAATGATGGACCAGGTCCTTTGGCGGGCGTTTTGTTTTCACTGCGTTGAACAATGCCGTGCCGACAAGCTCTCTGGTCATCCGCTCGTTCATGGCGTAACCGACGATTTCGCCGTTGAAAAGATCCTTGATCCCTGCAAGATAGAGCCACCCTTCATCTGTCGGGATGTAGGTGATATCTGCTACCCACACTTCACCGGGACGGGTCACGGCAAAGTTCTGTTCCAGAAGATTGTCGGCAACCGGCAGCCTGTGCTTTGAGTTCGTGGTTGCCTTGAACTTCTTCACCTGCTTGCATCTGATGCCCAACTTGCGGCGGATGTACTTCAACCGATCCCTGCCGATCGCTACGCCGTCTACCTTTGCCAATTCGGCCTGCAAACGCTCCGGGCCATAGGTGCCTCGAGTGCGTTCATGCGCCGCCTTGACCGCGGTCTCAACCTTTAAGGACTCCAGTTGCCGCTTTGAAGGGCGATGCCTAAGCCAGCTGTAATAGCCGCCACGGGAAACACTGAAAATGTTGAGCATCGTGGAAACCGGATAATTGTATTCGAGTCGCAATCTCTTTATCGTCGCGTACCGGGCTGCGACTCTTTCGCAAAGTACGCCATCGCCTTTTTTATGATTTCACACTCGAGGCGGCTTTCCGCCAACTCCTTGCGTAAGCGGCTGTTCTCGGCTTCAAGCTCGGAAACAGGRCGGCCGGATGACGCGCCTGACTTCGAAGTCTTACTGCGATAGACCCAGTTCTTCAAAGTCATGGCCGGAATATTCAACCGGCGACCGGCTTCGGCAATACTCAAACCGGAATCTATGACCAATTTTACTGCTTCCTGCTTAAATTCTTCCGTGTAGTGCGCACGTGGAATCTCCATCGGTGAACTCCTCCTGTGATCTGATTTCTAACACATTTGGTGTTCACTATTTTCAGCTTACTTCA